CAGGAATCCCCTGGGTACAGAAAGTACTGAAGGGCTACCAGGTTAGGTTCAAGCCTGCAGATCTGGGTGTGCACAAAGGTACAGAGTCAGGAAATTCTCATTGGAAGAGTCCGCGTTCAATTCCACTGTAAGATTTCGGTACATGAATCCAGAAGAGCTAAAATTCATTTTGCTGTCTTTCGCGCACGAGTATGACAAGACTGCCGTGGAGCCACATGTGAGTGCATGGGATCAAGCCTGCTACAGTGACTTGCAGTACGGAGGTGCCCTCACAGAATTACTAAGACAGCGAGAGATCAAATGGGGAAAATCCCTGCTGCATATTAATCTGGGGGACACATGCACTCATTTCTATAAACCAAAGCCCTTCAGTGTTTGGGAATATAGCCTGGAGAAGAACACCAGCTAAGTAAGGTCTACAGAGGTCAAAAGGTCAACGGTTTTGGTAAAGATTCTTTCTACTGGGGCCAGCTGGTGGTATGATGGTTAAGGCAGCTGGATCCCCACATGGTGACTGCAGTTCAAGTTCTGGAGCTGGAAACTTGAAAAGCACTCTGGCACATGTGAATGCATGCCCAAAATCCTAAGAAGAGAAGGGAAGAGAAGGGATTGTGGCATGGTCAACACTCACCCTGCTGGAGGGTGCTTTCTCATTCTCTCTCTCTCGCTCTGGAAAAATTCAAAAACCAGATTCTCTCTACCTTAAGGATTCATTTATGCATAGCCACTGACACTGACACCATCAGTAGCTGACATCGACAACCATAGTCATTTGGGTCATGTGCTAACTTCCTCTTCCCAACTGCATGGATTCTCTCTCTATTTGCTATAAATAATCCATACTTTTGGTCTTTCTTATTGTGTATATGTAATGAATAATTCTGGACATAAATGCCATGAGGAAAAATACAGATTAAGAGGGACATCATAGATTGGATCCATAGCATATTAAACCCATCTTCCTGTCCTATTTTTAAATATGGATTTTTTTTTTTTTTGGAGAGGTTTTTGCTATAGGGCACATGCACTCGCCAGACAGACAGAGAGAGACATAGAGACAGAAAGCGAGAAATCACCCCCCAGGGGGGATGGTCACGCCTCAATCCTTTCTCCTCCATTCTCCTCTCAGGATCCTGGGCACGCCCGCACACGCGCCCGGCGTGAGTTTTAAGCCACCGGGTCCGGGACGTGAACCACGGTTGACTACGTGGGAGTCCAGCGACATAGCCATTACGCTAACTGCTGGTTCCCTAAATATGGATGTTTTTAAAAAGCTGAAATTCAGTTTGCCTTATTGAATACAGTACTAAAATAACTCACCATAAAATCTATGTTATTGTCTTCATTCCTGAAATGTTCCATCAACTTCTCAAAGCGCTGTTTTTCTCCACAAACCTGAAACACACATTTTCATTGTACATGTGACATTCCAAACATAACCAATTCCAAAATTAGACACAGAAATCTCAGCATTAATAATTATTTCCAGAAAACCTATTTTTTTTCACTCTCTTCCATGCTATTTACTTATCTGCTAGCTAACTCACAAATAACCACATGAGCCAGGACCAAAGGCTGATCCTTAATTTCATTTTCATAGTCTTTGGATATTCTGAAATCCATATCAAATGTATCTTCTTTCACTGGTTGTTTCAACTGTCCCATCAATGTTTTGGCATACATTCACAATCCAAGAAAATATTTCGGCCTAGCCATGGTGGCACATGCTGGTTAAATGCTGTGCTCCCCAGGCTGGGGCTGCAAGGGAGGCCAGGGTTCAATTCCTGTGCTACCCTGAGAGCCAAGTGCACACCCCTGTCTCAGCGACTTGGGAGACCAAGGCAGGATAAGCACAACACAGTGAGACTCTATCCTAAAAAAAACAAAAGCTCATGGGGAAAAAAAAAAAAAGCATAGTTTTTCTTTTCAAATAGAACCTTAAAGACATACAAACTTGGAACTGAGGCGGGCTGGCTCAGTAAAGCAGTGGCAGCGGGGGAAGATGGTGGCTGGTGCTCCACAGCGGGCGTGGACCATGAAGCAACTGCGCAGTGAGCAGTTGCCCAGGTAGGACCTTACCAAGTTTCTGCAGGAACACGGCTCAGATTCATTTCTTGCAGAATATAAATTACTAGGAAACATTAAAAATGTCGCCAAGACAGCTAACAGGGACCATTTGGTTACAGCATACAACCATCTTTTTGAAAGCAAGCGTTTCAAGGGTACTGAAAGTATAAGTATCTGAGCAAGTGAAAAATGTGATGTTTAATGAAGATAAACCCAAAGAAACCAAATCTGAAGAGACTCAGGATGAGAGTCCACCAAAATGTACAACCTCTATTTTTCAAAAAGGAGATAAAACCAACTTTCCCAAAAAGGGAGATGTTGTTCACTGCTGGTGTACAGGAACACGACAGGACGGGACTGCTTTTGATACTAATATTCAAACAAGTTCAAAGAAGAAAAAAAGTGCCAAGTCTTTAAGTTTTTTTTTTTTGGAGAGGTTTTTGCTATAGGGCACGTGCACTCGCCAGAAAGACACAGAGAAACAGAGAGACAGAAAGCGAGAAATCAACCCCCGGGGGGATGGCTATGCCGCATTCCCTTCTCCTCTATTCTCCTCTCGAGATTTTGGGCACACAAGCACACGCCCCCGTCGTCCGTTTAAGCCACCGGGTCCGAACTCGAACCGCAGTCAACTACATGGGAGTTCAGCGACATAGCCATTACGTTAACTGCTGGTCCCCCAAGCCTTTAAGTTTTAAAGTTGGAGTAGGCAAAGTTATCAGAGGGTGAGATGAAGCACTTTTGACTGTGAGTAAAGGAGAAAAGGCTCGCCTGGAGAATGAACCACAAAGGGCTTATGGAATGGAAGGACAGCCTGATGCCAAAACTCCACCAAAGGCAAAACATTTTTTTGAAGTGGAATTAGTGAATATTTTTTGAAATACCAGTTCTTAAGATCTAAAGACATCAACAACAATAAAACTTGGCCTTGAAGAAATTTATGTAACAAAATAGAGCTTGTTACTATTGTAAGGGAAGACTCAACTGGAAAATTCAAGGAGTTAAAATTTGTTCATAACTTATCTCAACTTTTGAAAAATGTAATCCCTTATAAATCCCTAAAGTCTAAAATATTTTACTACAGCTAGGTAAAATATTGGTTGAGATCTGTTTTTCCTTTTACCTCATATTGTAAACTAAAATGCTCAATAAAACTTTATCTATTGTCTGGGGGAAAAAAAGACATACGAACTAAAAGAGTTGAATAATGTAGTATTTAAATTAACTGAAAGGCAGAGTCAAATGTTTACATTACATCGAATCATTCTAATCCTTCTAGAGCATAAACTACAACATAGAGGTAACGTAGAGACTTCAGGAAGTTATCTCAACCCACTTAAAGTGAGTATTAAAATCTGCAGTAATTTGTGAAGCAGTACCTCAGCGCTCTGAAACATTCATCTCACTTGAGAGGAATGCTTTCATTGAACAGGTGAATACACAGACAAAATATTAGGAACTCCAGGGCCCCAGTGGATCAAGTCATTGGGAAAGTCATGATGCATTTTTGCATACCAAAAAAAAAAAAAAACTACACCATGATTTTTCCTAATGACCCAATACTTGTGTATACATGGAATTAAATATGTGGGGTTAAAAACAGAGCCAAAGACAGAAACTTCTCAAAATCAAAGGATGAACTTTAATTCTATCAATGTCCTCAGCTACCATTTTTAGACAAAGTTTTACAGTCATTGGCTTTTTTATTCTGCCATCAGAAAATGTTTACCTGGCCCATCTACAGATTACACACTACACTGAGAAGGCTGAGTCCCCAGATTAACAGTTTTCATATTTAATCCCGGATTCACACACTAAACTTCCAGTGTTCTAACTCCATGTGTGAGCTATGGGATACTAAAACCAATCATCCAAGAGTCCTACATGGTATTGTATAATGCTGTAATGCATCTATCTAGTTCAGTCATGTTACATTTCATGTAAAGATATGTATGTACACACACACACACACACACACACACACACACACACATCGCTCATATCCAGGTGACTGGTTCCAGGACTCCCTATGGATGCCAAGATCCTTGGATATTCCAATCTTGTATAGTACTTTTAGGTAACCAATGCACATCCTCCTGTATACTTCAAATCATCTCTAGGTTGCTGATAATACCTAATACAGAGTACACGCTACATAAATACACTGTAGTGCTGTGTACGTGAATAGTTGTGGTAAGACACACTTCACAAAGGGGTGAGTGGCTTACTACTACTTTCTATCATGTTTTAGAGTGAAACAAGAGCCATTAGACCACAACAGTAGCTCCTGTGGCTGAACGACACGCTGGAACATTAAGGTGACTAGTCTTCAATGCGGAGGGCCGCTAGTCTGAAGCAACTTCCTTTCGTTAACAGATTCAGACCACAGTTTACCATCAGTATGCTGATGACTACACTACAGTTATTTAAACATGGGCCCAGTCTTGAAAAAGGGAAGAAGGTTCCAGAAGGGAGTCTAAGATAAAGTCTTTAAAAATCATACTTGTCCAACCCCAATCCGGTGAGTCTGACTCAGCAGTCCCATGGAGGGAAGGGGTGGCATAGACATTCATAGTTTTAAAAGCACTACGCATCACAGTGATGCTGCACAGAGACTGAGATCAAAGATGTAAGGGAATACCATGCTCAGCCCTCTAGAGAATATACAGCAAAGTTTAGAGAAGGAAAAGTACGCTGAAGGGGGTAACAGGGCATGGCCAGCTCTCAGGACAGTGACATCAGTCACAACTTGTTCCCAAATGGACAACCATCCCTACCCTCCAAAGAGGGCCCAGTGGGTGAAAACTATCAAGGCTTGGCACAGAAAGGGTCAGAATTGCATCCTGAATTCTCTTCAGCAAAAACCCCAACAAAAGAACTTGTTTCCCAGGAGCATGGTTGCCTTCCCTCTGGTGGGAGGTTGGGAGTGGCAGGAGAAGAAAGGGAAGAGTAGCCATCTTGGATCTGGGGCTGGCTACCAGCTGCAGACTGTGATTAATGTTCTCCTGAGCAGCTAGGCATTCACTAAGCCGAAGAGGAAACGGCCACTGATAAACAGTGTCAACATACCAGCCGAAAACCCGCGCCACCCCCCCAGCCGATGGCATGGTGGCTATGGCAGCTAGATCCCACATGGTCCACTGCGCAGCTCCAGTCCTGGACCTGGGGCCTTGAGAGACACATGAGTACATGTGCGTACGTGTGCCCAAAATTCTAAAAGGAAAAATAGAGGAACTGCAGCAGGACCATCCCTCATAAGGGTATTTTCTCACTTTTCCTCCCTCTCTCACTTTACCTCACTCTGGCAAGTGCAGATGCTCTCTGGCAAAATTAAAACTAGAAAGAGAAAAGAAAAGAAAGAAGAGAGAGGAGAGGAGAGGAGAGGAGAGGAGAGGAGAGGAGAGGAGAGGAAAGGAGAGGAGAGGAGACAGTATTAGTAGTTTTCTAGGAGGGCAAAGCCCTTCCATTCAAAGAATGTTAGAAAGCTGAAAGTACTTTGAATAGTAATCTGGTGCTCTCAATTTATGAATGATACCAACACTCAGACAGACCAAGTATCTCTAACTCAATGAAAGCTCAACAAAGAGTGGCAGAACCAAGGCTAAAACCAGGTCCCCAATGGTCATCCTGATGCTCCCTCTCCCACACAGACCAGGATGCTCCGATAAACATATTCCATTTAAGACCATAGCTAAACCATTTTGGAATTAGATGAGACATTTCCAAAGACCAAAAACATTATTACTAAAAACTACAGTCAATATATCATGCATATATGTAACATCTGCACACCAGAATCTTCTACAGAGCTACTGTTCAATATATAGGGCAGATTCCTGGAGTGTAAAGCAAAGCATACTGAATGACAATCTCCATAGATGGGACTAGGAATCTGCCATTTTAAAAAGTACTCATGGCCTTGTGGTCAAGGGAGCCAGAATCTACATGGCAAACTGTGGCTCAATCCTGGCCCTGGTAACTTGAAAAAAGATCAACCAGGCACATGTGCATGTGTGCCCAAAATTTAAACAGAATGGAAAAATGAGGGACAAAGGACTGCAGTGGAACCACGCCCCATAGGGATGCTTTCTTCCTTTCTCTTTTTTTTTTTTTTTTTGAGAGATTTTCACCGTAGGGCGCGTGCGCTCGCCAGACAGACAGAGAGAGACATAGAGACAGAAAGCGAGAAATCACCCCCCAGGGGGGATGGTCATGCCGCAATCCCTTCTCCTCCATTCTCCTCTCGGGATCATGGGCACACACGCACATGCGCCCGGCGTGAGTTTTAAGCCACCGGGTCTGGGACACGAACCGCGGTCAACTACGTG